CTGACACCGTGTAACAGCAGCTCAGCTAACAACAACAACTACAGACGCCGTGTAACAGAAGCTAAGCTAATCGAAGCTAACAACAACGCTGCTGACTTTGTGCTCCAGAGTAAAAGTCTTTATGAAGAGACCGTGTCGGTGACCGTCGGTGACCGTCAGTGTTACCTGCAGAGATCGTCCAGGACACCGGAGGGAATCTCCACTCTTTTAGTTTCCATGTTGGTTGAAAACATCCCGACTGAGTCTCTGAGAGAAGCCGGAGATAGAGGCAGGGCAGCGGGAAGCTACATCCGTGTTAGTCCACTCATGTTGTTTCATCCACAGCTTCACATCTTCCACATGTGGACTCAAGTGTGCGTCCGCAGATCAGCAGCGAAACTACTTTACTCTTCCTCTAGCTCCTCCTCTTCCTCTAGCTCCTCTAGCTCCTCTTCCTCCTCTTGCTCCTCCACCTCCTCCTCTTCCTCCTCCTCCTCTTCTTCTTCGTCCACAGGCTGAACCTATAATGTTAGTTCGACTGACTCGAACACTTTTGGATGAAGTGTCCGACCTGAAGTTACTATTTCACATGTTATTATTATTTAATAATGAATCGTCCAATCACAGGCTGAGCTTTGAGCAGACAGAACGCTATTGGCTCTTTTGTCCATCTATCACTTGCTGGAGGCGTTAGTTAGTCAGTGTGGGCGGTGCAGATTCTAATTGTTTATAGTGATACGTCATAGATGGGCGGATGTAAAGTGAATTATGAAATAAAGATAAAAAAATATTTGTAATTTGAATCAAAAAACGTTTAATTTATCGATAAAGAAAAAACAAACTAAACCAAAGAGTGCGACAGTTTATCTTGTTCACACCCAACCTTAACTTTTAACAACACATATATATACATATACATATATATGTATATGTATATATATATATGTATATATATACACACCAGATACTTACTTGTTCATGCAAGAAAGTCATTATTGCGCTGGAATCCAAGATATATAGGATGTGGAGCTGCGTTGTTATTTGCAGTTGTGGTGTTGAACAGAAACAAAATGACTCTGACATTAAAATCTTTGCTCGTATCCAGATCAAAATAAAACATCAGGTTTATTAGGAGGAAAATGGATTTTATTAAGAAAATAGTTTACATGAATTAGGGAGCAACATTTACACATCAATGACACATGACAGAGGAGTGATCACAGTAAAACACAGGGTATTAAAATCATTTACATATGTATAAAAACTGTTTTCACAGTTTTCATTCTTTTTAAAAACACTTGAAGCCGACTCAGTGGACCTGAACGTGTCAGCTTGATGATATTTGATACTTGACACCCAAATGTAATAAAATGTCGCACCTGAGCAGAAAGCTCATAAAAAAAGGTGGAAAGTTTAAACTGGTCGAACGAGAGCGTCTCGTTCCTGTCGAGATAGACACTTGTTTGTGAGATGTCTTCACAGGGTATCCACGCCGCGGATCCTCCGTGCCAGCTGAATGTCGCGGGGGAACAGGGTCACTCGCTTGGCGTGGATTGCACACAGGTTGGCGTCTGAGAACAGCATGACAAGAAACGCCTCTGCAGCCTGAGAGGGCGAGGAGCAGGGAATCAAACAATAAGAAAGTAATGCATTCACACTGTACAATACAAGGTAAATTAAGCAACTTTATCTGAATTATATTGGGAGAAATTTATTCAAAATTATGACAAGAAGTAAACACGACACTATTCCATTGAGAAGGTAAAAAAGCAGGTTAGCTTGGTGGCGGCTTCTTACCTCCTGCAGGGCGAGAATAGCGTAGACCTGCCACCGGAGAGACTCTCTGGAAAAACTTTGACAAACCTCACGAACCTGAACCAAAGAGAGGAAGATGTTTTGTGTTTTCATTGAATTTCCTTCATTTGCAGACACAGGTTTTAAAGTTTCTGGTTTTAAACTGCACTTCTCATTGTGAATGATAAATCTCCATAAATCTTCAAACCATGTGTTTGAAGACAAAGCGACTCACCAGGCGAGAGAACGGTCCCTTCCTGAGCAGAAGATCTGTGCTCTTTTGATACTTGCGGATTTCCATCAAGGCCCTAGTACCTGGTCGGAACCTTCTCTTCTTGGGAGACACAGGACGCACAACTGGAAAAAACACACAGAGAAATAAGAATACTACTTGATAAACATGAGAGAAAGAGTTTGGACAGGTTTTAAACAATGCTTAAAAGAGGACTGAGTTTTTCCTGTTGTGGATTTATAGTTGAGTTCATAGATCTTCAAATAATCCAAAAGCTGGAATTTATTTTCTAATAATAATTCAACTGTTGCATGCATACAGGAGGATGTTGTCTCACAGACTCATTTCAGATGTCAGCTCCACTACTTCACCTCACCTGAACCACTCCTCCTCTTTGGGGACCGTGCTGTGGAGCCAGAGGTCCCTGGGGCCGACACCTCGGAGCGGTGTTGAGGGGCTTTGCCCTTCCGACGACTGCTAGAGGAGTCGTGACGCATCTCCGTCAACACACAGGTCAAGTCCACGAGGGGAAAGACGCTGCAGCCGAGTCTGACTGTGAAGGACAGAGGACGTCACATAATTTATCGATGAAAACACAGCAGACACATTTTTATTCTTCTCTTGTGCTGGTGACACTGAAAACACCAGATTCACTCTCTCGTCTAAATGCTGCTTTGCTCTCATCAGCTCTCAGCCTGAGGAGTTCAAGGGTCAACACAGGAATCATGAAGCTGTCGTCGTTAACTCCAGCCACTGTTATGTACCTGTTCAAAAATATATACTGCAACTATACTATCAGTGTACAGTAACTATAC